ATATATATATAATGTGCAAAGAATGAACTTTAGCAATTAGTAGACTCAACATATAAGCTAATCAAGAACTACTCTCTAATCAGCCAGTTAAAAAATTAGATGCACTACTACTTCTACTATCTCTTTGTTCTTCGAATATATGGTATAAAGTAGTAGGTTATAAGAGATATTTCAGTAAAGAAAATTAGAAAAAAGAACAGGCTATCAAAAGTTGACAAACTCTTGCTGGAAATTCACAATATTCTTCATCATGTATATTAAAAATATATGATCCAGATTGATTGATAATATCATTCTGCTTCATCACAAGTGCAACACCTACCAATGTAACATCAATACGTGGATATGATATATTTTTTGCTAACTGTAGCATGGTGTTTCTTCCACCAGATAACTATCGCGCTATAGATGCAGAGAAATATTACCATTTAATATATGCTATCTCCCTTCTGAAATTTAGATATCTGTATTCAATCTTATCCATTACGTGGCATAACTTCTTAAAGCTATCAAGGAAAATTTTCAAAATCACGCGTGTCGAGATAACAAGGGTTGAAGTTACTAGTGTCATAATTTTATTTCATAGAGAAGAATATTATATACATAAATAATAATTTATGGTGTTTGGTTCTGTATACGGTTAAAACCGGGCCTACTCGATTATATTATTTGACCGAGACCAGGGAATTGCATCCAGGGTCAGCCTCGTGACGGATCAGACCGAGGTACGAGGATAAGACACCGAGTTCGAGGACCAGGATGCCTATCGAAGATCGAGGCCGGTGGCGACCGAGACCAAATGAAACGGACGTCGAGCAAAGCACAATAACAGAAAGGCGAGATATCCGAGACTAGCCGAAGATCATGGCATAAATCTCGGAACAGGTCAAATCAAGGGCAGTTATTTAGCTATTCATGGGATTTACTTCCGTAATTAGAATTGTACCATAACTAGGATTCTTCTGCTATATAAAGAGGGACTTAATCATTTTGTAACCATCTTACATTCACGCAGATAAAAGCAATACAATATTCTCTCTTTAATTTACATTATCTTGTTCATCAGCTTGTTACAGTTCAACTGTTCTTGCACTACTAGCTCGAGAGTATTTAAGCTCGAGAGCTGAATTCTGTTCAAGCACTGGCTTGCTTTACTTTATCGTCAATTTTCATTATTAATCTTTACTAATATCAATTGGTATTAGGTAAAATCACGTATCCTTAAAACCACATTATAAGTTTAATTGTTATCCAGTTTCTAGGGTAAACAGTTTGGCGCCCACCGTAGGGATAAGGATAATAGTGATTGCCTGGTATTAATTCTTGTAACACACACACTACTTTACACTTTTTCTTGTAACTGTTTTTGATTTCAGGATCAACATGTCTAACTCACAAGCAGTACCCACTCACGCCGATGACGGCCTCAGTTTCCATAGAGAAAACGGTAATGTAGCCGCCCTAGGGATCGAAGTGCCTCAAGCTGTCCACGAGGGAGTACCGATCGCAGATCCCGCCGATGTCAGATCGCATGTCACCCTAAAATGCAAATATAGGCGTCGACCTTGGAAATAGTATCCGCAGAGATGCCCGAGAAACTGATCAGAACGCACAGAGCGGTGAAGAAGGCGGAATTAGCCTTCGAATGATATTCAAAATGTTGCAGACTCAACAAGCTGCGATAGCGCAACTCCAAAATCAGAATCGAGCACCAAGCAGAATTGAGCTCGAAACATCACAAGAGGTTGTTCATAGAGTTGATCCTGTACAGGAGAAATCGAATGCTAATGAATCGGGGACTGACCCCGCCATTATGAAGATGCTTGAAGAGCTCACTAAACAGATCGAATCAAGTGAAAAAAATTGAGGCTAATGACAAAAAGGTAGAAACATACAACTCACGGGTTGACTAAACACCGGGGGCACCCCCGATCCTAAAGGGTTTGGATTCGAAGAAGTTCGTGAAGAAGTCTTTCCCTCAAAGTACAGCTCCGAAGCCCATTCCTAAGAAATTCCGTATGCCAGACATCCCCAAATATCATGGGACCACCGATCGTAATGAGCACGTCACTTCTAACACATGTAGAATAAAGGTAAATGACTTAGAAGATGATGAGATTGAATCCGTTCTATTGAAGAAATTTGGAGAAACTTTATCGAAGGGTGCAATGATATGGTATCATAACTTACCACCCAACTCTATTGATTCGTTTGCTATGCTCGCAGATTCTTTTGTGAAGGCCCACGGCGGAGCCATTAAGGTTGCAACAAGGAAATCAGACCTCTTCAAAGTAAGACAAAATGATAACGAGATGCTTAGGGAATTCGTATCTCGGTTCCAAACGGAGTGAATCGATTTACCTACAGTCACCGATGACCGGGCTGTTCAAGCTTTTACACAAGGTCTCAACACTCGGAGCTCCATAGCTTCACAATAGTTAAAGCAAAATTTAATCGAATATCTAGCTGTCACTTGGGCCGATGTACATAATCGGTATCGATCAAAGATTAGGTTCGAAGATGATCAATTGGGAACTCCAGTTGGTTCGATTTATCTCAACCAGTCCATAGATAGAGTTAAAAGGGACGTCGACCGGGAACCACGATCAAATAGAGATAGGTACAAACCATACAATGAAGATCGGAGAAATAACGGGCCCGGACGCAATCCCGTACGGAATGATAGATTAAATGATCGGGGACAGAGTTCCTGGGGGCTTATGAGCAAAAGCAGTTTTGATAAGGATGCTAGGTCCAAAGAAGCACCTCGACTGTCAGAATACAACTTCAGTGTCGATGCGTTAGGTATTGTATCAGCCATCGGCCGAATTAAGGATACTAGATGGCCCAGACCCTTGCAGACCGATCCAGTTCAAAGGAACCCTAATCAAATGTGCAAATACTATGGTACTCATGGTCATAGAACTAAAGACTGTAGACAACTAAGAGAGGAGGTAGCCCGTCTATTCAACGAGGGTCACCTTCGAGAATTCTTAAGTGATCGGGCCAAGAATCACTTCAAAAATAGAGATTCGAATAGGCAGAACGAACAGGAAGAGCCACAGAACGTGATTCATATGATCGTTGGTGGGGTCGATATCCCTCAAGGACCGGTATTCAAACACACCAAGGTAACGATCACGAGGTAAAAGCGAACTCGGGACTACTTACCAGAAGATACCTTGTCTTTCAACGATGAGGATGCAGAAGGGATCGAACAGCCTCACAACGATGCGCTGGTAATATCTATCCTATTGAATAAAATTCAAGTTAAATGTGTGTCGATTGATCCAGGAAGCTCGACAAACATTATTCGATCGAGGTCGTAGAGCAACTCGGCCTCCAAGATCAAATCGTGCCTGCTGCTTGAGTACTCAACGACTTCAAAATGGCGAGTGAAACCATCAAAGGGGAAATCATCTTGCCGGTAAACATGGCCGGTACTATCCAGGAAAAAAGTTCCATGTAATCAAAGATGAAATGAGATACAACGCGCTGCTCGAAAGACCTTGGATTCATAACGTGAGAGCAGTACCTTCGACACTTCATCAAGTTCTGAAGTTCCAAACTTCGGAAGGAGTCAAAACGGTGTACAGTGAAAAACCCGCCGCCAAAGAAATGTTTGCAATAGACGAAGTGATACCGGTATCAGCGTTTTTGTCAACAAAGGGACCGGAGTCAAAGGGAAAACAAGAAGTCAAATAGCAACCACAAGCACCAGCCTCGAACCCATCGTAGGAGTAGGAGATCTTCGATGATGAAGATTATATGATACCTCGAACCTTCATAACCCCGATGATTCTGATGTTACGAAGTCGAAAGGTCGAGGAGCTGGAATAACTCATACTGATCGAGCATCTTCCCGATCGAAAGGTATACCTGGGCACGGGGTCAACTCCGAGCTCAGGAAAAAACTCATTCAATTCCTTTAAAATAACATGGATTGTTTTGCTTGGTCCCACCTAGATATGACAGGGACCCCAGTAGAGATCACAACACATCGATTGAGCCTGGACCCGAAGTTCAGACCGGTAAAACAAAAGAGGAGGCCCCAGTCCAAGGTTAAACATACATTCATCAAAGACGAGGTAACCAAGCTTCTCAAAATAGAATCCATCCGGGAAGTAAAATATCCTGAATGGTTAGCAAACGTAGTTGTAGTCCCTAAAAAGGGGAACAAACTTAGAATGTGCGTAGATTATAAAGATTTAAACAAAGCATGTCCCAAAGATGCTTTTCCTCTGCCGAATATCGATCGCATGATTGATGCCACGGCTGGCCACGACACCCTTAGTTTTCGACGCTTATTCTGGGTACAATCAAATTCAAATGAACCCGGAGG